TTGTGTAGGAAACTGGACTCTAATGACTTGGTGTGTGATTGCCAGCTCATGTGGCTAGCTGAACTGCTGAAGAAATACTGTAACAGCAGTGTTGGGCAGAAAACTATCTTCTCAAAAGTTTATCTTTCTGAATTCTTGGTAATCTCTCTTTTACGTCTCCTTTTTATAGGAGACTGGACTCTAATGACCTGGTGTGTGACTGCCAGCCAGCAAGTCATCTGCTCAAAAAACTTTCTGAATGTAAGGCGAACACTCTACTTACATGTAGTAATACTCACTTGACCATTGCACGTATTCTTCTATAGGAGACTGGACTCTAATGACTTGGTGTGTGACTGTCAGCTCATGTGGCTTGCTGAGCTGCTGAAGAAATACAGCAGTGTTGGCAGTACCCAGGCCGCCGCCACCTGCAAGTACCCAAAGGCACTGGAGGGGAGATCTGTGTCCACCATCACTCCGGAGGAGTTCCACTGTGGTAAGACGGTAGAACCGAATGCAAGTACAATCATATACGTTGATAAAGGTTAGACATCCAGGTTTGAACTGATGAAAGACAGTATCTGTCTGTATCTGTATCTGTATCGGTATAGCTGGTATAACTGCCCTTTGGCTGGTATCAGATACGAGTGGATGCTATCTGAAACATCTGACTCCTCAGGGAATTTTTCCAGTTGTTTGGTGTATTCTGTATGACATAATGTTCTTCCTGGGTGTCTAACCTTCATAGACAAAGCTTTCTGTTGTATCTTTATACGTTGGTGAAGACTAGCCTTCTGGTGTATCATACAAATTTGTTTACAAAGACTGTACACTCTAAAAGATCTGACCTATAGACAGTAAAATGAAGGTATATGTAGCTCCATACCTCCATTCTGTTGTGATTTGCTGATGGTGCTGAATAGTACTTCTGATCTTGTAGTTTCTAAGCAAGTACCAGTACCATCATGTGCACTGCCTTCATTACTCTGTGCATGGCCTTCAAGTAGACGTACCATCAAGGGCGTAGGTTCTTGCTATGCAATGCAAATGCAAGGCAACTGGCTGGCCAGTGCTGCTATCCTCTACTTCCCTTTGTGGTGCTTCCATCAACACGAAATTGTCAACAAGTTCACCTGCATACACCACTGTTTCATGTTTTGGATGTTGGAATTTTCTTTTACACAACTAGTATTGTCTCACCTTGCTTACGTTTCAGTGTCTATCAGACACATTCCTCAGAGCTTCTGACAAGAGTTCTACTAATAGCAGCGAGAAGCAGAACTCCAGTCAGAAGCTCTGAAGAAGGTGTCTGATAGACACTGAAACGTAAGCAAGGTGAGACAATACTGGTTATGTATAAGAAAACCCCTATATCCTATACTCTACCAACCTGATGAAACTATTTTCAGACGTTTCACATCTTTCTTGTGGGCAAATTTTTCATCCTGAAAAGTTCTTGTGTCCACAATTCCTGCCCTTCAGAAAAGACAAAAGCAACCACTCAACACTGATACTGACCCCTATGACCTACGACATAGCTGCCAAGGGCTCTCCTTTTGAGATTCCTGTTTTAGCAATAAAAGAACAGCTAAATAATTACCCTTAACGAGATGATGTAACGACTACCGTGGTGAAAGGTAGAAGAGGTTTGTACCCTTTTAAGACCACACCAATTTAATTTGTTGTTTCTCGGATTTTTTCAGAAAAAAATCATGAGGGACAGCTAGGGCGAAAAAAACAGACAAAAACAGGCCAAGGCACCCCATAATAGCTGGAAATGTTATAATATGAGCCGTGAAGCGAACATACCAGGCTGGTTTATAATTAAAACAATAGATTTTGAACTTTTAATGAAACAAAATTGCATTGTTACATTGAAAAACTTAAGAACTAGGAAGAAAAGGACTTTTTTCAACCGTTGGGGACAAAATATGTCTTTCATTGAGCATTTTGCAGTTAATTTACATGTAGAACAAAAAAAATTTTTTTTTTTTGCAAATTGGAAAAAAAATGGACAGGGTGATCCGAGAAGCAACAAATTACATTGGTGTGGCCTAACAGTCAAATAATGAAGGTCGCCATTCCCTGACCTTGATGTTGATTGTTTATCCAAGCTGAGAAAACTAAAAATAAACAGAAACCCTTCCCACCACCCAACACCATTATTTATGTCACAAGTGGTGTCATTGATACATTTACATAAATATAAATATAACCTCTAACTTGAAGTAAATCTAAACATAACCTCAGTCTTTAGTTTGTTAACAGTATTCGAATTTTCGCAAGCGGTGCACACGTTAGGGCAAAACGCGTTCGAATCGTTCTATGGAACATTTGGAAGCCCGGGCCGTATGCGTTAAGAACCCCCGGGCCGTACCACTAGTTATTACACGTATCGAACGGAATCGCGGCCCATGTATGACATAAATAATTTATTATAAAATATAACCTCTTGAAGTAAATCTAAACATAACCTCTTTAGTCTGCTAACAGAATACCTGCCCATACTGCCCACACAAGTCCAAGACCAGTACAAGGAAAAGTTCAATCCAGTCAGTTAAAGGGTCCATTAAATTCTCAACCAGTAACTTAATGTAAAACCAACTCACTATTTCTGCCTTGTTTAAATTATTGCGGCATCTACAAAATGTACATGTATCAAGGAATCTAAACCTAGTTCGTAACGTTACTTTTCTCAGTCAACCAGGAAGTTTTTTGTGTTGTAGGTTTACTTCAAAGCTATATACAGCTCCCCTCACCTCACTAAGGTGTATTTCTTAACTTAAAGTATCAACGGCCTCCTTGTTTCTGAATGCAGGCCTTCCTTTTCCATCAAACTACTGTACCTGTCCTATGAACTGTCCATCAACTAGTCATGCAGGCAACTGCTTAACTGGGCGACAAACACTATGCTGTACTCTGTAGGGGTAGCCTGGGAGCCAGACTGTTTCCAGGGCCTGCACATGTAGGCTAGCCTGGATGCCAGACTGTTTCCAGGGCCTGCACAGTCATACAGGCTGGCCTGGGTGCCAGACTGTTTCCAGGGCTCCTTGGCTCTAGGTCCAACATGCCACCAAGGAAATTTACTACTGACTGTAAGAAAGGCAAACTTGGGGTTGTGGTAAAATGTCCTTGGGAGTGTGTTGGACCCAGAGCCAAGGAGCCGGCTTGTGCAGTCCCAGCAAGAAAACAGTCTGGCATCCAGGCTAATGTAGGGGTGTCTATATGGAGAAAGTTTGAACTGTAGTTTCCAACGCAAGATATTTTGAGTGTACAACGAAGGAATGAGTAGTGCACCACTCCTGTGACGTTGCGTCATTCAGAATGATGACACGTGACTCAGTGAGCAGTGGAACAAAGACAGGGGGCGCCACAGACTTTCTGCAACCTAATGTATGATCCACTGCTCAATGAGGTGTCACAGAAGCAGTGGATTGCTCATTCCTTGACAAAGACTGGAGTTGCACAGTTGAAAATTTGGGTAAATCCAACTTCTTGTGTTGGAAATTACAGTCCAAGCTTGCTTCATAATGACTTTTACCAACACAGATAAACTTTCAAGATACGGGTGTCTTTTAATTAGCCTAGTGGAGGTTGCATCTAAATTTGTGGAGTTTTCTCTCATACCAACCCAGATGGGGACTCTCCTCTGGACGAGACGCTTCCTATACGCCACAGAACCTCAAAGATCATAGGTGAATATTCCTCGTCTCTAGCCTGGATGCCAGCCTTTTTATCTTTAGTACGCTCTCTTTGTTTCTTCCTTGCCAAAAAGACTGGACCTGCTCATGTCTGGGAATTATGTTGTGTATAAAAAAGTTCATTCAATTGTCGTATGCTGGTTAGATGACGCTACACTACCACTCAAGTTTGGTATGCCTGTTCAAATTCTGAACAAAGATTCAAATGAGGGATAGAGTACAATATATGTGTGGGCCCAGTCTTTTTGGCAGTGAAGCAACAAAGAGAGTGTACAAAAGCTAAAAAAGCTGGCATCCAGGCTAAACCACTCTTTCAGCAGTGCAAAGATGCTTGACTTCGCCATTTTGACATGATCTTGTTGAGTTTTCTGAGAGTTACTTCAGAATGTCTGCACTCACTTGGATTGGTCTAACCTCAAGATCGGTTGGTCAGGTATCTTTGAACTGCTGGAAGTGGACCAGAACTTAGCAAAAGTCAATCGCATCCCACCCTTCTGTGGTAAACCCCCCCTACCCCCCAATATATTGCAATGCAAGCAACCCCAAGGAGATTTTTAAGAGAAAGTTTTAACACATATATGAAGAGTAAAGATGGCAACAGTGGATCTAGAATTGTCAGAATCGATGCACATCATCCCAGTTCCTCCTTAAATCCCAAACCTAAACCTTAATCAATATGTTTCATCCCAGATAGAACCTTAACTCCTATACATGTTAGTGCAATTGTAATATTTTCCAAGATACATTCCTATAAATATAATACCATAATCTTTAAAATCGTGTCATGCCCTGATCTTAACACATGAACACCCAGCCCCCACCATCAAACCCCATCATCTTACACATTACATAATGTGCAACAATGAATGCTTAGCTGATGTCAGAACTCAGAAGACAATGCATGTTGCCTCTATGAGATTTACACCTATGCATAATGTTACCACAGTTAATTCTTAATTTATTAAGAATTGTTTGGAGATAATATGAGACCCATTTCCATACTTACATGCACACATTTATTTTGTGCAAAAATGCTTTGCCACAAGTTCAGCCTAAGGCCACACCAATTTAATTTCTTGGTTAACGGATTCGCCCGCTTCATTTTTTTCTGATTTCAAAAAAAAAAAAAATTCAGAATCAACAGCAAAATGCTCATATTCTGCCCTGATCAGTTGAAAACAGTCCTTTTCTTGCTAGTTGTTACAGTTATTCCATCTTTCAATGCAATGGTATCATTAAAAGTTCAAAATTCATTGTTTAAATTTTGAACCAGCCTGGTGTGTTGACTTTATGGCTCCTATTGTACCATTTTGGGCCATAATAGGATGCCTAGGCCTGTTTTTATTTTTTCGCCCGCCCGCTCCATTTATATTTCTAGAAAAATCCGTTAACCAAGAAATTAAATTGGTGTGGCCTTAGGGATGTTCTTGTTGTATGTTTAATAGTCATGTTGACCATTGAAAGACTTTCATGCTTAACAGTGCCCTTGTTGATTCTAGTGAAACCTCACTTCACGGCGGAGCCTTCTGATGTTGACGTAACCCATGGCAACACGGTGTACTTCAGCTGTCACGCGGAGGGAGACCCCAAACCTGAGATCGTCTGGCTACACAACAGGTCAGTTGGGTTATGACAAAATGTTTAGACCAACGTAGTGAAGAACCAGCCAGTAGGCTTCTACTCTGGAACCCTGATACAAAGAGAAAAGTTGGACGGCCAAACGTAACACTTAAGAAACTTATAGAAACTGAAACAGGCCTGCAGGGCCTGGAACTCTCTGCGATGAAGGACAGAAAGTTCTGGAGATCAAACTTTGTCTGCTCCACCTCTTCGGAGGATGATTGATGATGATGATGATGAGAACAAAAAGGAGCATAAAGTTTTGATGAGCCATTGTTACAGTAAATTACTGCAAGGAGGTGAATGCTCATGGGATTTTGGTCAAGTCTTGTACTAGTACTACATACGTGTATATGTAGTTTAAAAACCTCTGACCACACCAGTTTAATTTCTTGGTTATCAAATTTTTTAAAGCTAACACTAGACTAATGAATATCAACAAGAAAACAGAGTCTGATGGGAAAGTCTTTACACACAGTTTCAAGGAGTGAACAGAGCGAGATGCAAGTTTTCAACCCAACCTTCTGTCTTTCTATTGTCCCCTTGCTAAAGTCTTACATAAAGATATCAGTGAACTAACAAATCAAATTATCATGAAAGTTCATCTGTGTTCAACTTGGTAGTTACATGTTTAAAGTAAAAACTTTTGGTCCAACACAAAAAATTCTCTCACCTAGAGCTTTCGACCAGTCACTCTTGTCTTCCTCAGTAGACTGACCCAGTGAAGCTTGTCACGTGGCTTCTTTGACCCAGTGTTGATGTCACACTTCAAAGAAGCCACGTGACAAGCTTCACTTCTACTGAGAAAGACCAGTGTGACTGGTCGAGAGCTCTAGGTGAGAGAATTTTTGTGTTGGACCAAAAGTTTTAACTTGAAACAACAAATTAAATTGCTGTTATCTTACTTTCCCACTCTGTATGTTCTACTCGTAGCAATGAGGTCCAGATTGATGACGAGCGGCACAACATGTTGGATGACGGAACTCTGATGATACAGGACACCAGGCCGGAGGACCAGGGCATGTACGAGTGTATGGCCAGGAACATCGCTGGCGAAGTCAAGACCAAACCTGCCGAGCTCAGATACTTCAACAGCCCAGGTATGTAAGGATAGATGTACATGTACATGTATGTGGCATGCCCTTAACACACACTTTACATGAGTGTATGGCCAGAAATACCAGGCCAGGTATGTACATTGTAAAGGATGTGTGGTCCTGATGCTGTACATGCTATGCTTCTTTCATTGTCTTTGCATGTACAAGTCAATAATTTTCAGCAGTGCAGCTTAAATTTATTTAGTGAATTAAATGCACAGAATTATAACCTCATTATGAGAGAATATGACTCATGTCAGGTGGGCAGAAGTTTCCCACAGGTCAAGGTTGTGTTTCAGTTCCATGTCTTGTTCAACTCCATAACATTTTAATACAGCTCAAATCATTCTTTAAGAATTATTACCACACCCTTTGCTTCTCCTTGTCACCTCTCAAGTTCAGTGTGTAGTGTAATTAGAAGTACAGAAACTCCCATATCACTTCAGTGCAGAGCCTTCTGACATTAAAGTACTGTATACATATTAGAATCTAATGTATAAGTCTGTGTCTTCTAGTATATCCCAATCATTCTTCTCTACTTTCAGCGAGCCCCACGTTCACGGTTAGCCCCCAGGACACAGAGGTGCTGGCAGGACAGAGTGTCACGCTGGAGTGTAGCGCCTCGGGGTACCCTCTGCCTGAAATCACGGTAACACACAACACTTACTATGGTTTCTCTACTTTATTTTTGTACTTTGATAATGGTTTATCATGTGTTACACAATCTCACGGTCAAAACTTTTGTTCCAACACAAGGGATTGTTCTCACCTAGAGCTTTCGACCAGTCACTCTGGTCTTCTTCAATAGACTGACCCAGTGAGACTACATTTGTATACCTTGTTAACTACCAACACGTTCATGATAGTCTCAGAGGCTGATTGGGTTGTGTGGTGTTACGGCAGAGCATTCAGCTCAGAACCAGAGGTCCCGGGTTCGAATCCCACCAGGTCACCAACCTTGTGCCCTTGGGAAAGGCACTTTACACGGCTTTCCTCACTTTGCTCAGGTGAAAGAGAGTTTGCCAGAATGATCATGGGCATAAAAAAAAAAGCCAAATCAAATATAGGCAATAAAAAAAGGTTGAATGGTGCACATGCATGTCTTTTGTATTAACTGTAGTGATTGGGTTTCCACCAGTGGTCCAGGCACGACAGACCGGGCCCCCCTCCCCCGGCGCTGCCGACCGATCCACGCTTCACCGTGATGCGGTCCGGAGCGCTACACATCACGAACGTGCGGCAGGAAGACCACGGGCTGTACCGCTGCAAGGCCGCGAATGATCAGGACACCATCGTGGCCACCGCCCAGCTCATCGTACAAGGTTTGTTTGTTTGTTACTTTCGTCAGAAAGTTATGTTGTTTGTATGTGTGAATGTATGCAAGTGTGTATGGATGTGGTTTAGCACGACAAGTCGAGAAGTTATGGCTGGATTGTCATGCGTAGGTCTTGATGAGGCCTCTAAACGGTTAGAATTTGGGCTCCCAGGCGGGTTGTTATGGTACTGCAGCAGAACTTCAGTTTTGCAGTGGTAGATAGCCCTTTTTCCCAGGAAGAAGCAACATAACTTTGGGCCAGCATGGGTGAATCTGTTTTTGAGTTTGAGCATTAGGGACACTTTTCACATCCATCAGTGTAATGTAGGCTTCTCTAGCTACCTGAGTATTACAAAAATAGTGAATTTGAACCCTCACAGTTTTACATGCATGAACAACTCCTCCACCCTCAGCAAATGGACTGTGAAAGTCATTATTTTTTTATCCAGATGTATACTACATTTAGGCCTGCTTTACATTGTCGTAAGCTTTTTAGCAAAAATGTTTACACTTCTCTTCTCAGCGAGGCACACCCCACAAGGCTGTTCCTCTTCAACTTAGTAATTATACTCTTGGTTTATTTCTTGTGATGGAAATTTCATCCTTGGGGCCAAACCCTCACAGCAGTTCACTTTTCCACCCCCAGCAAATGGACTGTAGAAGTCATTATTTTTTATGTACTATGGTCTGCTTTTTTATACTAGGTCTGCTTTACATTGTCATAAGTTTTTTAGCAAAAATGTTTATACTTCACTTTTCAGCATGGCGGCTGTTTCCCTTCTCTGTAGTAATCATACTCTTGGTTTATTTCTTGTCATGGAAATTTCATCCTTCGGGCTTGCTTGTTTAGGCATTATGGCAACCTTTTCACATTCGTCAGTGCAATGTAGGGTTCTCTAGCTAGCACTGGTAGAGCTGAAAATGTCTATAAAATGTTAAACGGACAATAGACCCTTTTTGGACATTCTCGAAAATTCCGGACATTTTTCAAACATTTCTAAGAATGTCTGAACAGGGGCTTTACAGGGGCTTTTTGGGGAGGACTTGCTTGTTGTGTTTTCCATTGTTCTTGAGGTGTCTGTCAGAATGTCTTTAGAAAAAAAGTGTGAAAACTGGCATGCATATGAAAAGCACTGCACAAAACCAAGACAATTTATAGGGGAGGACACCATTAATTAATAGACAGATGCTAATGCTCATTGTGCTAAACAAAGGACTGTCTCCTAGGGGTGTCCCTACCTGACGTGTGAAGAGACTATGGATATAAAATGTCCACCTTGGGTTATTTCGATGTCGTTTTTCAGTAACTATGTCTACTTAATGTTCTTCCGACTGGCCTTTGTTCAGCAATGTCTAAATCATGTCTATTGTCCGTTTAACATTTTATAGACATTTTTGGCTCTAGCTAGATCTAGCTATCCCAGTCTACACGTAATCAATTACATGCCTGAACAACTCCTCCACCCCTAGCAAATGTACTGTGAAAGTCATTATGTTTTATATCGAGATTAGGTCTGCATAAAATTGTCGTTTACTAAGCTTTTTGGCAACAGTGTTTATACTTCGCTTTTCAGCATGGTGGCTGTTTCCCTTCTCTGTAGTAATCATACTCTTGGTTTATTTCTTGTCTTGGAAATTTCATCCTTGGGGCTTGTTTGTTTAGGCATAATGGCAACCTTTCACATTCATCAGTGCAATGTAGGGTTCTCTAGCTAGCTATCCCAGTCTACACGTAATCAATTACATGCCTGAGCAACTCCTCCACCCCTAGCAAATGTACTGTAGAAGTCAAGTTTTATATCGAGATTAGGTCTGCATAAAATTGTCGTAAGCTTTTTGGCAACAATGTTTATACTTCACTTTTCAGCATGGTGGCTGTTTCTCTTCTCAGTACCGGTAGTACATGATTGTAATTATACTCTTGGTTTATTTCTTGTGATGGAAATTTCATCCTTTGGGCCAAACCTTCACGGCAGGGGTCCCAAGTGGTCGTCTGGTGTCCTGATCAGAAGTTGGGAGTTCTTGTGGGAAATGTAGCTCTTCAGGGTGAAGTGTCACCGTTTTCGCAGACAGCGTTCTGGTTTTTGACATAGCTGCTTGCATGGTTTTGCCATCAGTGTTCTGTATCCGTAAATAATTTCATCAGGTTGGTAAATGAATGAATAGCAAAGTTCTTTGATCACAACCATTTATTTTTCACGAGCCGACGTTTCGATGACCGTCTGTCATCTTCATCAGGGCAATTCTGAGTGACAGTCTGGTTTACTGTACACTGACGCTAGATGTTACCTGGTGCATAGTGCACTAAAGGTGTTACATAGTTCACATGCACGTAAGCTAGTTTTTACTGTTAACAATGCATTTCTGAACGTAGTGCAATTGTGACATGTATACTAGGCATTGTTACATCATAGGGACAGTGTATCATTAACTCTGTATCATTAGTTAGTTCTGATTTTCCGTGTTGTTGCTTGCATTCGTGGTTTTGCCATCAGTGCATGAGTTCTTGGAATGGTTCCTTTGGGGGGTTGGACGCAAGGAGAGTGAGAAATGTTCCGAAGGGCAAGGACATGACCTTCAGGGTTCATTAAACCGCTTTCAGGACTGATTTGTGCTAAGTACCTGTCACATTAAAAAAGTACCGGTAGCAACAGTTTCCAGATTACTGAATGAGAGACCTTTATTGTAACGTTACATTTATGCTCTTACAAGCTAAGTACTGGTTATGACTAAGCAGGAAAAAATTACAGTAATATATCTAACTACATACTAATGTGGTCCACTATTTACAGTTTCAACTTACTCTCACCTATTGAGGTAGTTGTATAGATGTACGAATAGATGTACGAATATATGGAGCAACTGGATATGATTTCGGAAATGGTCAGAATGTTTCCTATTTGTCCTTTTGGACTTTCAAAAAAACTGTCTTCACTTTTTGCAAATCAATCAATACGTTGTACATTGTACTTGGCGTGCTTTTCTGACAACTCCCCAGTGTCACTGACAAAAGTTAGTGGATGTGAGTAACCGTTTTTTGGCAAATTTTAGCTTTAGTTTTTTTTTCTGGCTAGTGTGAACGACCTCACCTTGCACCAAACATCTGTCCTGATCTTGACCTCGCGTCTTCACAATTATCTCTCGTCTCTCAGATGTTAGCAATCAGAGAGGTGTGTTTTGAATCAGGTTGTTTTGGCAGGAACTGCAGATCAGAGGTGAAAGTTCAGGTTTACTAACAGGTCTGCCATGAGATAAGATACAGCCTCTATCCTAACTTCTTCCTGGCTTTCTTAATCAAAAGATAGCTGATAGACATCAGAAATACATTACATTGCACCTGCACAGCTCCAATTTTACCTGACAGTGTACGTACATGTAAATGTCCTGCATACACAGGTCTGATTGTATTTCGAGCCCTGCAAGTGCCAGCCAGCATAAAAGGAGTCAGTCCTCTTCTAAGACATACCAGTTTTGTGAAGTCACTCATTGTCTTAACAGAACTACATGGCTGGTGATGATTGGAACCAAAGAGAAAGTTAGAGCGGTTAGTTAGTAGTCTAAACACTGTGTGGAATGCTCAGCCAATTATATCATTGACTGTAAGTGTTTGTTATGGTTCGAGTTTGGGTCGAATGTTAGGCTCTAACATTTTACGTCGTTAGGAGGCTTTTGATAAATCCGACGCTTCCCAGAAGGATGATCCTTTGTAGCCTCCGTAGCAGGCTTATAGAACTGGGGATTTGGTGGTCTTCGGCTGTTTTCTGATTAGCCCAGTTCTAAAAATGGGGGTAATTCAACCAGGCCGGCTATGTTGTCTATATGCAATCAGAAAGTAGCACATAAAAGATCCCAAAGACCCTGAAGATCCCCAGTTTTTGGCATGCTATGGAGGCTAGATCCTTTGTTGGTACTGCTGATAAGAAGTCGTTAAAAGGGATGCGTATCTAGGACAGTAGCTGAGGGGACGGCTGTGTGTCAGCTCTAATTTCTCTGTAATTTCTCAGTCTGGCCTTTGTAGTGTGCATGCATAGTCCAGTGATTAGTGATCCTGTAGAACTCTGGACCAAGCAGGCCTCGAAATTAACTTTTCTTCCTATTGTCCTAGCACTGTCCCAAAAATAGGTCTCAATTGTCCGAAAGTGAAGATGAACTGCCCTAATCTTGGGAAGTATTGTATGGCTTCCACGTGAACTTGAAGTCAACTTTATTTTGCTTATGTTCACTCCCATTCGCACTATAATTACAGAGTAGACAGAAATTCGGGGGATTTTTCCAGATCCAAAAGTCCAGGGGCACATGCACTTGCCTAAACAGTACTTTTACTTGCCCTGCGCAAGTGCGCAATGGGACTTGTCGAACCCAACAGCCAACTCTGTAAGTGGGAATCTTCAGTTGTCCTTGGCCCATGAAGGTGCAAGTTTGTTCCAGGTTTTCCCAAGTCTTCAGCTGAAACAAAACGTGATTTTCTAATACCTGGACTCCTGAAAGGAAATTTGAATCAGGAATACTTCCTGTGAATCTCACGCATAGACAGTGGGACGCCTTAACTTTGGCACGGTTGACTCGGACAAGCAACAAAATTCACCACATGGACAGAAGAATACCTTAACTACACTCATGTTAATCAAAATTAAAACTTTGTTGTATTTTAAATTTACCTTTTTTTAGAAGGTGCGCAGACGAGAAAACTCACAGGAAAGATCAGAGCATGAAAGTTTATCCGTGTTCATTATGACAAACAGGGCTAAACGTTCAGACCAACACTGAGTAAATTGGGACTAACTCTCTTAACCAAATTCTCAGCTGACTCCGTCCGCCTTGTTCATGATCAGCCTTGTTAAGGATCTTTGAAGGATAACTGCAAACAGTTACCCTTTAAACAATTAGCTAGACAAACCAGAAACAGGTGGATGTTGATACATCAATGAAGTTTAGACATCCAGGTAATGAGATACACACTCAAACTGTTGTAACTCAAGCAATATTGGATAGATTTTGAAAACTGCC